GGGGATCCGGCTGCGTCCCCGTGCCCCGCGTTGGCCGGGCGGTACAGCCCCCAGGGCCCTGTCCCGTTTCTGGGGTCCGGGAGGCGCCGAGGGCCGCAGAGAGGTAGCGGGGTGGGGGGGGTGCCCGGCGCGGACTTTCCGAGCGCTGGGACGAGCGGGCCGCCGGCTGGAGCCTTAGGGCTACAGAACCCGGAGCAGGCGGCTACACTGTCGGGCGCAGAGTTACGTTGTTGCGCCGGGGCGGTGGGGTAGAATGTATCTCTCGCCGCGTCCCCAAATGTGGCTCCTTGTTGGACTTGAACGGAGCGTGTGGCTCGTCAGGGGCTTACTGAGGGTTTTTATTTACTTGAAAAGGACCAACACAGCTCCCTGACTTTAGGGAGATCTTGCCATTTTCTTTCAATCCTCCAATCCGTGAGCCGTGCGGCTGCTGGATAAGGAGTTCTTTTCTAAGCGAGTTTCTAAATTTACCAGCAGTGCCCCGGAAGAGGCCAACACATGCATATTCAGCACCAAATAAGACTGGCACGCGGTTTTTTTTTTTTTTTTTTTTTTTTAAACAAACGGCTTTGCTGTTTGAAGGGTGGGCGGGAACGTGCTGTTTTTAGAAAAATGTCAAGAACTTCTCTGAATCACATTAGGCATGCTAATTACCAAATATTAAATGCTGATTGCTCTACACGCATAGTTCTTCGCATGCCAGGGAAGGGAGGTGGAACTGGTGTAAGCTACTGGGGACATGACAGGGATGTTTTTTGACTGACATTCCGCAGCCTCCACTTGGAGGTGGGAAGCATGTTCTCTGTAACCTCAGATGAGTAACACACTAGTGTTTATCAGTGCAAGCCTCAAGGCTTACAGCAACAATGTGTCTTGGTTGATTTTAAGCTGCTTTTCGGGGGAAGGTGAGCCAAGACAATAAAAGAATTGCTTGGAGATGTCTCATAGGGAGCTGCTTCGAGACCTGAGGTCATTCAGGTAAGAGACAGTCCACCCCTCTGTCCAGTTTTCCTGCAGGCTTGCCTGGGTTCAGCCCTGGACTTCCTCCACCGACATTTACACCTCTGAGCTGTGATGGCCTGTTCACTTGTGTGTCCCCTGAACCAGACTGTAAGCTCCATGAGACTAGGGATGGTGTCCGTAGCCGGCTGAGTTGACGCTGGAGGCTTGGGCGCTGGTCCAGGCACCTCGTAGTCAGCTGTCTTGGCCGCCTTCCAGGGATTGCACAGCCAAGACCAGACAGGGGCCCTGGCATTCCAGGGGCACTGCAAGGTGGGGGTGGGGGCAGTGGAAGATCAAGTCCATCTGTCCCATTCCTCCCACAAGTTGAACAGAGCTGCGCCAGCACGTATATCCTCAGAGGAGAAGGACCATAAATGACACCTCTTGCCCTCCTGTAGAGGAGGTGAAACCACGGTTTTGGCCTCAACACCAACAGTGAATGGGATTTCTGGGATGGTGTGTATAAGCAGTAGCTCAGACCTTCCCAGTCCAAAGGAAACAAAGGCCCAAATGCAGGCAGGAAAGTCCCTAGATGTCCAGGGCCATGATCCCATAAATGTCACTCAGCTTCAGATCACAAGGAGCAAATGCAGTGGTTCAGCCAGAAGTAGCTAGCTAGCACAACACTGCCCGGTTACATTCACAATGGATACGGAACATCAGGATGCAGAAAACCAAGGTACAGGATGAAACGTTTCCTTGAATTCAGACCCACGTGCATTTAAGATTCAGTGGGAAAGCATTACTGTCTAGTGGGTCAACTATCCCAATCTGTTAAGATGTAGATGATTTAGCCACCGGGAGAGGGGAGAGGCGGGCGAAGGCCTGCTGTCCAAGGCAGAGGCTGCAGTGTGTGTCTGTCACTGAGAGACAGACGTTCAGCAGTTCGCACCTGAGTCCTGTTGCAGGCACTGTGTTCAGCCAGGCAGATGGGGCTGGCTGTGAGTGAGAATGAATTTGGCCACGGCGTGGGATTACTTGGTTGAAAATGTTTCTGGCAAGCTGACTAAGGTACCACCAACAGCACTGTGCCTCCTGGAGCAAAGAGCCCTTCTCCCCATCAATTCTCTCTCCACCCCCAAGCCCGCTGGCCCTGCCACACCCTCTCCCAGGGCACAGCGCCATCCTCCATGGCCGTTCGGACACACGGCCCTTGGGACACTCACCCATCCTCCCAGGGCCCTGGGGATCCAAGTGCTCCCCCCATGGCCTTAAACTCCAGTGAAGGGAACTACAGCTGTTCCCCAAACATCCCCAAGGCTCTCATCTCCATCCCGTGGCTCAGTAGTCCTGGACTTCTGGTTTCGGGGACCAGTAAAATTTCAAAAACACATTTGGGGACGGACATCAGGTTGCCAACTCTTTCTTTTGCAAGGAAGGACATTTACAAAGACCTCAACTAGTACTGTCTACGGTCCCCATCTTTTTATAAAACAAACACAAAACATTGCCACAAAGACAAAACTAATAAGGGTCATTTCCAAGTAAAGGACAAGGAATCACCTTACTTCTCTAAGAAACTTAATATACTGTCTTTGTTCTCATGTCACCTCTGGCCCGTGGTGAGCCCGCCGTGGCCCACTCAGCAAGGCCTGGGGTGCGCTGCCACACTTATCCAGTGGTTCTCAAGACTTCAGCCAGCAGGGGAATCATCTGGAGAGCTTGCTGCACCCGGCTTCCCAGGCCACCGGCCCTCCCTCCTGCTTGGCACGTATGGGGTGGAGCCCGGGGTTCTGCTCCCTGCAGGTCTCTGGCAGAAGTCCACACTGTGGAGTAGCACTAATTAAAAGGTTCTCTGGACTTTCTCCCTTACTCTCCAAGGTCCAAACCAAATGTACTTTTCGTGAAGGCTCCTCAGTAGAAAATCATTTCTCGCTCTTAAAAATTCCCATCTGTCCACCTTTTTTTTTTTAGCAGAGACTCCACCATGTTTGGGCAGACTGCTTACTGTGCCTCTGTGTCTGCTCTTTCCCAGCTCTGCACCAGAACCCTGGACTTTTGGGGGCCCGTGGACACTGAAATGACTTTCCCAGTAGCCTCTGCTGTGGCATGTGACTATGTGCTGGCCAGTGGGAAGTGGACACAGGCCGTATCTTTTTCAAGGGAGACTGGGTGTGCATCTCTTCCCTTCCTTCCAGCGGAATGGAATGCAGATGTGATGGATGGAGCTGGGCCGGTTACCCAGCCCATGAGGTGGAAGCCCTGGGTTCCAGTCGAGGGTGGTAGACCCACAAGTAAGGGCCAGAGTGAGAATTGCCAGTTGCCGCACTAAGCTCTAGACTAACTAGGACTGAAGAGAGAGAGAAAAAAACCTCTGTTTTGCTAAGTCACCGAGAGTCTGCCTTTTCTGTCAGTTGCAACCATTCTAGTCCCAACTAGTCCAAACTTAAGCCTATCTGGGGCCTGGGCTGTTCTCTGCTGTTCTGCTTGACTAACTGCTCTCTGGCAGTGATGTCTGGGTTCGTGGCCCCTCAGGGTACTGCACACAGCCAGCCCTCCCAATAATCTGTGAGAAAAACTTTTAAGAAAATAGGCTCCTTGTTTGAGTATTTGTGAAAACAAAAATAATGGTATTTTGTGCTTTCTGAATTTAATAGCCCATCCCAGGACTAAAATCATATGGAATTCTGAAGAAATTCAATGCTACATTATTACTACAAAAATGGAAATCTAAATGTTCAAAAATGGTGAGCTAGAAGGAATTTTGGAATGAGGAAAGATAAAAACTTTTTCAGTGTGAAAAACTGTAGAAACATGAATCCAAGTTTGGAAATGAACAGACATGTGGTACAAAGCCTTGATACCAAGGTGTGAAAGTTTCTCTCCGCATGGAAGGATTACAGATGTAATTTTTCTCGTTTCCTCATTCCGTCAGTGAACATGCCATTACTTTTCCAATTGGGGAAAACGACGTTAAAAAGAAACAAAAGGGAGCGAGACAGGAAGAGGGAGGGAACCCGCAGTGGCTCCGAAGCTGCACCAGCCACCTCCCCGAGGGCGTCTGTACCCTGCGGCTTCGCTGACATGACCTGAGGGCACGGGAAGGAGGTAACGTGGCCCACAGACCCCCCTGAAAATGCAGAGTCAGTGCTCCGTGCCTCGTGGAGGCCGCCCTCTTCTGAGTCACAGGAGGCTCTCCTGCATTCCCTCTCAGGGGTGACTGTGGATTTCTCCAGAAATCGCAGGTCCTCCAGGGTGCACTTACCCACAGACAGCCGAAGCTGGGGATCCGAACGGGGGTGGGGGTGGGGTCTGTCTTCTCCTGCCGGAACTGAGGTGGCAGCAAAGGAAAAGTCAGGAATCCGCTTTCTTCCAGTAAGAATTATTTTTAATGGTTTAAAAATGAGTCTGTACAAAACCTGCACCACCATTTGGTGCTTCCAGTCCACCGGGGAATTCCAAGGGTCTCTTCCACCACTATCTCTTTGGCCAGCTGTGCCTGAAACCCCTGCAGAGAGAGACAGTGTGAAAACAGAAGTTACTTCTCCCAGTTGGGCTGGAGGTTTGCTCTCAGCCGGTTTACAAAATGCTGCAGACCTCAATGACACACAACTGGGGAGGCATGGTTCGTCCGGGGCTCCTGGAGAACTGAGCTTGGCAGTAGCATGTCCCTCACACTCCGGTAGACAAGAGGGGACTGGGGAAGCGCTCTGGGGCCCCAGGAGGGTGGCTGTGTTCATCAAGATCTAAAGGCAGATTCCCTCCTCATCAGGCCACACCCTAGGGGTGAATCCTCTGGCTTTAGGCTCTGCCCTGGGGATGAGGGTTTCATGTTTTTAACGAAAATATTCTTAAATGATGACCCACATTTACTTCCTGATTTTTTTCTCCCTCACTCCTCAGAAATGGGAAGATCTGGGAAAACCTCAAGTCTATTTGCTCGGAGGTGACCCCGGGAAGCTGTATGGTTGGTTAACAGGCGGCGAGGGACAGGAATGTGAGTCCTGGGACGCAGGGACCGTCAGGTGGATGGCACTTGGCAAGGCCCTCCCCTCCTCCTATCTCAGCTGCCCGACGGACAGAGAGGGATCTGGCCAAGAGAGGCTCTCTGAAGCTTTCCAGCTGGGCCCTGTGAGCCCGTACGCCAGCCTCCCCCACATACCTGTCTGACTTTCCGGTTGGAAAGGACATACTTTTGTTTCCCACCGACTGTTTCAGTTTTTTGGGTGCAATGCATTTCTGAAAAGATAAAAAGCCAATGCAGCCGAGGGACAACCTGACCACAGGACACACACAGGAAACAACACAGGAGCCCAGCTGGCCCGTCCAAGACTCCAGTGCCACCAGGGTGACTGGTTTTCTTGCAAATGGACCTTTCTGGGTGCTTCTGAAGGCGAGGCCGTCCAGACGAGCTCCCAAAGGAACAGGAGGGCTCCATACAGGCCTCAGCCTCCGCATGCCAAACTTGTGGTCACGTTTGGCCCCGCCTGGCAGCAACGCCCACAGGGGCAGATGCAGGCTTGTGCGGGCGCCCGAGGGAGTGTTTGTGGCCTGTAGCTGTAATTCCCATGGCAGTGAACAGCAAACACCCCTTCAAACCACCCGCCAGCCTTCACAACCTCTTTAAAAGTTCATTTTTATTGCTGGAATAGCTGGTAGGTATTGTCTGTACTTGGGGAGAGATGAGGTGAGGGAAAGGATGTGCAGAGGAAGAGGGTTCCTAGCCAGGCTGTCTTCCCAGCAAAGGAAGAGGGGAAAAAAAGCACCACGAGGAGAGAATTTTCAAGATTTTTCTTTCTTTTTAATGGTATCTTGTATTTTGTTTTTTGAATTTGGAATCAAAGCCTAGTTGACATATACGATCCCATTAGTTTTCCACATCAAGTATATTTCTTACCTTGCCGGGCTGGGTCTGCTTATTTGGATCAAATTGGGAAGAAGGTTTCGGTTTGCTGTCTCCTGGAAGGTGAGAGAAGAGAGATGCCAGTGAGCGTGTCCGTGAGTTTATATACCCAACAGGCTGACCGCGGGGCTGGCGCACGATGTTCAGAAAGGGTGGGCTGTCAGCTTGCCGCCGCCTGCAGGAGAAGGGACTTAGGCTGACAACAATTCACGTGGTGCGTTCCCAGTAGGGAAGGGCAGCCCGAACACCAGGCTCATTTCTCACAGATCTATTCTCAGCTCAGGGGCAGGTGGCTAAAGCATTAGCTCCTCTTACACCAAGGACATCCAGTCTGGTCTCTGTGTGCCCGTCAGGAGGTGCCACTGGCAGTCACTTGGGCCCTGGGGTGACAATCCTGCCCTACCTTCCCTCTCTCAAAGGGATGTGTTGCCAAGGAGGCTGCCCTACCGTCAGGAGGGCCGGCTGCAGCCCCTCCGAGGCAGATGGACTCTCACCGGCTAAGGGGCCAGAGAGCAGCCCCCGGGCGTCAGGTTTCTTCGTAAACTCCTTGCCGTGTTTGTGTGTCTGTCTGAGAAAATGTGTTTCTGGGCATGAGCTACTGTGAGGAAAGATGGAGCCGCTATTAGAATGGACGCCATCTTGCGCTACGACCAGCGAGGCCACGGCGAGGTAGCTGCAGCCCAGGAGGGTAGGGGTGGGGTGCCTTCCGTCCCCGCACTGCGGTTCCACTGCATGGCTCTCAGAGTGCTTGGGTGAGAGCCGTGTCTTTCTCGGGCTTCATCGGTGCCCAGGTCATGCTTTCTTTCCTCTACGGCTTCCTCCCTCCTAGCAGGGCCAGACATTCCTTAAAGGGGACCAGTCCCGGCCTCACCAGCAAAAGCCTTGAAATCCGACTTGCTGTAGTCATAAGGGGTGAAATCCTTTTCTGGCGGATCTGGGTCTTTTGGCTTCTTGGAAGTTTTGAGTCGCTTCTTTTCTTGTTTCTGCTCTGTGGTCCTCGGGTCACTTGTGGTTCGCTCCCTCTTCTTGGTGGCACTTTCCAGCTGTAAGGTGAACACACCGTGGGAAGGACGCACGCTCTGACAGCGAGGCCCGCGAGCCTCCAGGCCTGCTGTGCTGGCATCTATGGGCTCGGGGGCAGGGAGAGAAGTGCGGGCGGCTTGTGAGCCTGGGCAGGGCTAGCACCAGGTGGGACACGTTCCTCGGTGGAGAGGGACATCAGGTCATTTACGAAAGGCACAACAGGCTTGGATATGCATAAGCTTTAGTACCTTGTCTACCACTAGACTCAGGGGTACGGTCTGTTTACCATAAATTCATCACAAAAAATCATGTAAGAGAAATTACAATATAAACGTTTTTTGACGGGAAATGCAGGCACTAATTGACAAGCAAAATGAACTAGAAAGATGTAGAAGCATTTACTTTGAAGCACAGGACAAGCCCTCCTGCTATTCGGGGAAAATCCTGACCATGACCAGGGGCAGCTCATTTCTCAAAAGAGAAAGCAGAAGGGCCAGCACGTACGGCAGCCTGCTGTCGGACAGACACGGCCTGTTCCGCTGTCGCTTTGTACTCTTCCTTGGCCTGGTCCCGAGCAGCTGCAAGAGAGCACGGTCTGTGGAGCTGCTGTCTCCAGCAGCCAAGCCTCCCTCCGCATCTGGCTGCATCGACTGCTGTGGCTGCCACAGCCGGGGCGCCCTCCCTGCCCCCCAGTCTCCTGCACTGGCCCCCCGCCCCCAGCCCCTCAAGGATGGCCGCCTTGCAGCTCAGGCGCGGATGCTCTTCCTACACTCTGTCTGAAAGCCCACCTGCCCCTCCCCTGAGAACCCAAGCCGGACACCCACCAGCCTACGTGACGCCTCTCTGAGGTCTCAGAGGGGCCGCAATCAAAACACATCAAGGACCAGAACAAAGCCACTTCCCCAACTGGCTCCTCGTGCACTCTCACTCTGTTGCTGGCCACCCTGCCTTTCTAGTCGCTCAGGACCAGCCCTTCTGGCACCCACGGCCCCCTTCTTCCTCTTACGTGCCACACACACAACTCATCATCAGGTGCTGTCGGGTCACCACGGGGTACACATCGGCTTCGGGCCACTTCTCACCACCTCTGCTACCATGCTGGTCAAGCCAACAGCCCCTCACCTGGCCTCCCACCCCTGCCCTCTTTGCTGGACTCTCCACAGTCTCGGAGTGAGCTTTTCTGGTCAGTGCAGGCCACTGCTCTGCTCAGACCCTCCACAGCTTCCCGGCCCGCTCGGAGGACAAGTCACGTCCTTATACAACGGTCCTGTTCTCCCCATCAGCCACACTGGCTTCCTGGCCACTCTCTGCACACGCCCAGTGAGCAACTGCCTGGGGCCGTGGACTCGCTGGGCCACCAGCATGGGACCACTCTTCCCCTAGAAGCAGCCAGTCTTTGCTCAATGTCACATTTATCCGACTGCCTTCTCTAAACACCGTAGAGAAGTAGCCACCCCCCGCCACCCCAGCACTTCCTACCCCTCTCCCTGCCCCATCGGAAAGAACGTACATTTATGGGTACACTGTCCGCTACCCCCGGGAAAAGGCACGCTCCACAGGGCAGAGGCTGTGCTTTGTTCTCAGCCGTACTGACACTTTGTTGAACAAACAACAGGATACACGAGGCCTGTTCTTTGACAGACACTCCGACAGGCCGAGTTACAAGGAAGTGAGGGCTACCTGTTTGCTCCGCTGCCTTCCCCTTGGCAGTTTCTTTAGATTCCTTGTGCACCTGGACCTGGCTTGCCAGCTTCCAGCGGTTGCTGATCTACAAGGAAAACAAATAAAACAAAAACACTCCAAAACTCAGCCACCTAGGAATGCTTTACTTTTTTAATGAGGGGATGCCGGCCATGCTAATAACCTAGTCACTACACACACTTCTTAGTCATGAATTCCAAATCTGATGACACAAAAAATAAAATCTCTCGCTGGCTTTATTTATAAAATACTCATCAAGAAGGACAAAGTGCAACTGGATTCCAGGCACGGGGCCGGATGCCTTCCTGTCCGCCATCTCACTCAATCCCTTCCATAATCCCGGGACAAAGGCATCCTCATCACCCCCACTTTGAGATGGGAAACAGGCTCAGAGAAGCTAAATAATTTGTCTGGGGGGACACGGTTAGCAAATGGTGGAGCTGGGCTTCAAGGCAGGACTTCTCGAGTCGGGTCTGCTGTTGTACGATACCACATCTGCTCCTGGCGTTAGAACAGGTCTCGCTGGTATTAGAAGCACGGTAAGGGATGTGTGGTTGAATGGGCCACAACCCGTGGGGGAGGAAGGAAAGAAGCCCAAAAAATCCCCCTGACTCCCCATTTCTAAAGACAGCAGGCTAACCACTAGCGACAGGGCGGAGGCCCATCAGGCTTTCTGGCCTGACCTTTGCTGCCTAATGAAAGAGGGGGGGGCAGAGGGAGCCAGGCCCCCGTCTGATCAGAGCAGGTCCTTCCTACAGGAAGGAAGAAGGCTTTTAACAATTAACACGGTGGCTCCCAGGAACATCTCATGGGGCTCCAGGGAAGGTATTTCCTTATTCTTATCCATAATGCTGTTAAAAACAAACCAAACAATAGAAGACAGAATGTTTTAAAATTTAAGCTGTCACCTGTGAGAGCCTTAAAGTAATATTCACATATAAAAATGCATCAAGCTGAACACCTAACACCTGGGCACTTTACTATGTACAAACTAAACTTCAAGTAAAAACCAAACACAAAAACCAAAGACCTGTTTCTTAAAAGGTTTACAAAGGCTTCTGAAAATCAGAATAAAGTTCTGGCCCCCCTCTCTAGAAATAATGCTTATATATATTTATATATAAAGCGTTTTTTGTATTCATTTTCAAGGGGCTCAAGATGGGCTTAAGACAAAAACCTCGTTCAGATAATTAAGAAGCCCCCTTTTCTTAGAAAGTCACTCTTGGAAAAGGGTGACAAATCCACTTACTTCGTAGATTTTTGATGATGGATCAAACTTTGCTGCCTGAGAAATGTGAGCGCGGTGTTCGAGTGAAGGCAGGAACTGGAGGGATGAAAGGAAACGGTTGTTTAAATGTGCTCAGGACCTGCATGGGGGTTTTCTGGTGGGGTTCATTGTGGGAGGCCTAATTCAGAGCGTCCACCTGGCCACAGCTCACTGGCACTTGAGTGAGGTGTCCTTTCTGGTTTCACCTGAGAAGACCCCAACTCCGTCTCCACCCAGACACCAGGGACAGCGGACACATGCTGGGTTCAGAGACTCCCTCTCTCCAAAGACTGTTGGCTGCTTTTCTGGGCAAGAGGCCCCTACAAGCTGCAGAAAGCTCTGCCTATTCTGTCAGCCCTGAACACACACAACGCCTACTTACCATCTTAAATGGGTTTTCGAAGGACTCCATTATGTTCTGGGCTTTCTTCTGCGCAACTGTTAATGGGCTCTTTCTACTTTCTTCGGCACTAGGTTCCTGCAGGGACAGAAAGTGAGCAACTTATCCCGTAATCATTCTGTGGCATTACGATGCAAGCAACGGAATAATCCTGGGTGGCTCAGTCGTTAAGCGTCTGCCTTTGGCTCAGCTCATGGTCCCAGAGTCCTGGGATCGAGCCCCGCATCGGGCTCCCTGCTCAGCAGAGAGCCTGCTTTTCCCTCCGCCGGCCGCTCCCCCTGCTCGTGTTCTCACTCTCTCTCTCTGACACATAAATAAATAAAATCTTAAAAAAAAAAAAAGTAGTGGGGCGCCTGGGTGGCTCAGT